AGTGCTAAATGACTTCAATGATATACATCAGTGTGATTTTTTTTTACAAATAAAGGTTTGCGTAATGAAGTTGTGCACAATCTCAAGTTGTTTTACAAATTAATATCGCAGCTGTATAGCTCTCGAAATTATGCAGGTCAGACACTTGTTGGAACTTGAACAGTAGGAAATTGGGACAGTTTAGTGCAGTTTTTCTCTTGATTTTTGCAACAGGGACTTAGTTTACTTGTTTTGTCACCTGGATCAGTAGTCTTTAATGATCGTCGTTTTTCCTTTTTGTGAGCTTGTTTCATTCATTTACATTCGTGACGCGCAGGACTTACATAGTTTAATAGAAGGGGTTTTTTCCTGTCTCATATGGCAGGGATTTTCAGTGCCTTTTATCAAGGTTTTTTTGGGTCACCATTGGGATCTCAACTTGCAAGATGATGGTTGTTTGTTTGTGGTGCTCTCCAAATAACGGTGTAGTTTGACTCGAGTGTAGGGGTGGGGGAAGGGGAGGGAGCTCGTAGCGCAGAGCACCCAGGACATTAAAGCCATAGCGAACATTTTCATTTTCACCTAGATTCACCTAGATCCTTGGCTTTGCCGCAAACGATTGGATTGTCGTCGGTACGCTGGCGCTAGTAATTGCACGAGAAATACTAACTAAAGGACTTTGGTGCTATTCTTCAAGTTTATATAATAATCTAGCAATTCATGAGAATCCTGATGCTTACTGCTTCTTACTTACACTCCTGTATTTTAGAGGTTATTAGCCCTTTTTGTTTACTTGCCAACATAGTTGGAGGGTCGCCGCCGCGGCGCAAGACATGTTGTCGTCCTTTAGGGCTAAAGTTCTAATCGGTTACCCAGGTTGACTATAGGCAGTTCCGGTTTGGGCCTGGAGCAAGTCATTCGACATGAGTGAAAGGCTGAAATGTGCAGTTTACATTCTTTCGTTGAGAGTCATAAACGTGCCACATGGCGTGGCTGTGACAGGCCACCCCGACTGGGTTAGCACCCTTACCCGACACCCGCGGGTCTTTGTGGAGGTGCTACTCTGAGCCACAATCAGTCACATGCAAATGAACATGCTACCGTAGTCCAAGACATGAGCCATTTTAGATGAAGAATATTTTTTCAAGTTGTTTGTATGCCATTTTCAGATGGTCAATCTTTATCCCGCTGCCATCGACAGTGATGAAGAAGTTGAAGCAGACGAAAGTGGCGAGGATGAGGACATGGAAGATATTGAGGTGGCGTTTCCACATCTTTAGTTGCCTTGACTTATGCTTTTTAGCAATCGACTATTGAAAATAATCGTACTAGTATTGCAAAAATAGGAAGTATTTTAGGCTGTTGCGGTTGTGAAAAAGAAGAAAGTTGCTGGAGCTGCCAATGAGTTCTCGTCGGATTTTTCGTTCGAATGCACAGCTGATCAGAAGCTCGACCACGACGATGCTGCCCTTAAGAAGTGAGTATCATGGACGTTGGATCTTAAAAAGTAATGAATTCGATGCAGAATGTGAAATCCCATCGTTGTAATTTCAGGTACCTGCGCAAGGAAGTTGCGTCGACCTTGGAAGAGAAAATTGAGGCGGTCCGTAAGGCCAAAAACACATCGAAAGAGGTTGAAATAGACGTAAAAAATGAAGACGATGGTGTGGAACAGTTAGGAGGAAGGGAAGCGAAAGGTTTGTCAAACTTTCGATGGGTTCAGTCTATTTTTATAAATATGTCGTTAGTGCGTTAGCTTAATACGGGTGTATAGTGCTGTTGGTAGTAGCTAGAATTACATGGAAGTCATTCTGCTTTCACATGCTGCACTCGTGGTTAAATCTTAAAGCTTTTTCCTATCATTATCGGGTAAGAGGGCAGTTGAAACTATAGCGAAGGGCATAGAGAGGACTAGTTAAAAATGCACCAGCAGGTGCAAGTTTTTTTTCATTCCTTGGAACGCATTACTCTCAAAAAAAAGTGAACATATTTGAAGTCTGAGATATCAATCTAGTTTCATGACCACCTTCAGACAAGTTGCGGGATAAAAAGAAGATGGGACGGAAAAGCGTTCAGAAACAAGATGACTTTTTCGAAAAGGCGATGGATTTCTCGGACACTATCACATTTGATCAGATGAACTTGTCACGTCCAATGTTGAAGGGTGGGTCCTATGATATATACATCCATCCTCATCCTTATACACATCCTTTCACATATCCAAAGTTTTTCGAGCTATTCTTTTCTTTAGGTTTTGTGGCTGAAACCTATTTCAGTAATTTACTTCCCCTGCAAAAATTGGCATTATTGTGGGCGGCACGGAGCTTTTTTCCCTACGCCTTCCTTTATTGAATTGAGTCCCTGTAATTGTTTTGATTCATGTGTTATTGTGTTCTATTAAGGCCATCGCCGCAGCAGGATATACAGAACCCACACCGATTCAAGCAGCTTGTATCCCTGTCGCTTTATCTGGGAAAGATATCTGTGCTTGTGCGGCAACAGGAACTGGTAAAACGGCCGCTTTCGTTCTGCCAATATTGGAGAGACTTTTGTATCGATCAAACGCACGTTCATGTACACGAATCTTGGTGCTCGTCCCAACAAGAGAGCTTGCAATTCAAGTTTTCCAGGTAATATTTGAAGAATTTATGTTTCTAATCTTCCCCATTCAAAACGAGACTCTTGTGCTAGGAATTGGTAATAATTTCAGGTTTTTCGCAAGCTTTCCACGTTTTCACAAGTGGAGGTATGCCTGTGTGCAGGTCAGTCCGAATAAGTTTTGATTTGACAATGTACAATTTTTGGGCGTTGATAATGCTGCTTTCATATGCTCACTAAATATGGATCATTTTTTTTCTGTTCGCGTGACAGAATTCTGCGAAATATTCCTTTATAATTACGCACATCATCGCACGCATTAAAATTCTTTTCAGTTGATGTATATAAAATTAGAGACCTAATTTCTTTGCTCACTCGGTATGATTCCGAAAAAAGGCCTTCATCTCTGCTCGTTTTCCAATATCGTTGCTCACTGTCCACATTTTCATGTTTCATCTTCGTGCCATCATCTATTCACCTGATGGTGCATCTATATAACTTTTTTGTGACACCATATTTCATAACAACGACGGCAATAATACCGTTTTTGAGCTCCTTGCTTTTCATTAGGAAGACAGTTGAGTTAATTTTTAGGTTCTTTGGCATGAAAGTTATGCGCATCCCTAGTTCAACGCGTTTTTAGCCGTCGCTTATAGATTAACACGACGGCGTTCGTGTGGCACGATGCTATATCAGAAGCATTCGGTCTTATGGGACCGGGCTCAAGCACCTCATTATAATCCTAGTCGTCTACCTGACATGTTGGCAAGCCAAACTTCAATGTCCCCCTCCTTTTGGAACCACCCCAGACCTTTGATGAACATCTTCCGAATTGTCTCTTCGAGCACATCTGCGGGTCCGACCAAAGTCTCTCCAAAAACCTCAAGACCCACCCGAATAGTAAGGAATAAGCTTCTTTCTTCTGCCAGTCGAGTTGGTCTATGAGAGAAATTTCCACAGAAAGTCTTTTATACTAATTTTACCATTTCCACGAAAGCGCTGTCTGTGTGGG